CGTCAACTGTAGCTATTCGCCAACTATCGCGATATAAACTTTCTTTAATTGGTGTTCTATATTTTCCGGAAATTATCGTAGAAACAACATTTCTTTCCACGGCAAATAATTTGCAATTTACGAAGCCGGTGGCTATTACACGCGATTTATTACAAATTTATTTCGCTTCTCTTTGTGTTAAAGCACGAGTGCACCTGATTTCTGACGTTGTTTTCATTTCGAAGCATCAATGTCTGTTGCCCCTTGAGATGCTTTAAACCGTGGTCGAGGTCTGAAATAATCGTTTAACTTTACGAGACTTCTCGAGTTTTACGACTCACGCACAACCGTCCGCCTGTTTTACAACCAGGAAAGACACGGTGCTTCATATCGATTCATTACAATGGACCAAGCATAATGGTAAATGATAGTAATGGAAACAACAATGTCCAACTTGTGCACGGTGCCCTGAAGCATCCAGGAGTTGCGACTGTGCCGTCTCCCTTCGTAATTAAAGACGCGTTGCAACCCTTCGCTGTCTCGCATCAATTTCCGTAGTAATAATTTCCCTCCACTGTCATAACCTGTCGTGCACGTACCAACGGAAACTGTATCTGCTTGACGACGAATAATAAAGCTACACATCCAACACAAGCTCCTTTTCAAATTACATTAATGTCGCCACTATCTCGTGACTGCTCCGAAATGTAGTTCTTTTCTCATTTGATCTAATACCTAAGATAAGGAATAGAATTGTCTACTCTTGTATAACAGTACCGAAAATAAAGAACTTAAACCACAAAATGCACCGCAACCAGTTCCAATTAACTATTCATGGAAGCTCTGCGCCGACGTTCGTATTTTCATCGAGATTCTAGTCTTCCTCCCTTTTAATCTTCTTCATTGCTGCAAAGCACGCAAACTTTTTATAACGTTTCGACTGATTATACTAGAGGGCTTGAATAAGAGGGAAAGTTTTTAACGATAGCCTATTTACGCTTCTTAGTCGTGAAACAAAGTGAAATTTCCTTTATCCATCGAGCTCCTTAGCCAACCGATAAAGCGGCACTAAATGCGTTACATTGTATCGCGTTAATGTGCTTCTTCCAAATCTGATTTCTATCGATTATTTTCATTTATTCAATTATTCTGTCAAAGGGCAGTGTATTAATCTCGTTTCCATTAGGAGATTACTGGTGGAAGACACCGCGTTGTAAAATAACCTGAAAAATCTGGACACGCGAAAGCATCGATCTTTCCAGCATGGTTCAATCCATCATCCTTGACGGCGGAGGAACGTAATTGAAATTTAATCCGAGTCCGTTGCGATGTCGTCTTAATAATCCACTACCGATTGATTTACATCGCGCCCAAATTTAGTCGATACATCTTCAGGATACACGAGCCCCAACAACTCACGGTTGAAGCTCTGACATTTCATTTTCATGGAACAACGGCGACGCGAATCGATTCCACGAAGTTACGAGCTGCAGATACTCGTTAACACGTCGAATATAATAACTCCAGCGCGTGTTACTTTTCAATTAGCGAGCCTGCACCGCGGATGATAATTAAAAGTTATTTTTATACGTGTCCGAAATGGCGCCGGTTGTACATGCGATCACGGTTAAGCGATACAAACTGCGTTGCTGGATGGTAGATCGACGAATACATTTCTAACATATCCAACTTCAATTTCAAAATTCAATTTCAATTTCACAAACTCGATGTATAATAAAACACGCCTTTTACGAGCGTAATATCACAGATATCAAAGTATTGGAATTTTTTGTGGGATAAAGCATTTTATCCACTGTGGCCTGCGCCATACAATTTAACGTACATAGACACTCTGAAAGACTTTTGGGCTTTGATTTAATAAAAAAAGCGGTCTAATAAAATTTGCGTCTCATTTCATGCATACCGTTATCGAATGCATCGCACGTAGAAGAGGACCATTTTTTGACATTGTCCTTTATCAGGATCGTGTCCTCCATTTTTTCAAGGGGGACATTAATTAAACGGCGGATGATGTAATCGCGCCAGCGACTTCACACGTGCGAAGAAAAGCCTGATTAATGGAGCTTAGCCGACCGGAAGAAGGATTATTTTTGTTTCTTTTTGCCGTGGTCAGAAAACGAAGATTATATAAACGCCGCAAGAAATTTCCTTTACACGATCCATTCCCGTCGGTTTGGGAAAAAACGTGGACAAAATTGTCACCTGGAAGCGATCGAAATCGATGAAGGGTATCGCGAACGAGGCGAAGGAAATTTCTCGCCGTCGATGCTTGTCGACGGGAAGTACTCGACGACTCGCAAAAAATCACGCAAAGAAACGACGATGGAAAAGCATCGAGTATCGCGACGATTGCGTTAAGAGACGGCTGAAAAGATAGACGCTGACTCGTAATACGTCGCGGCGGTTCATTATTCAGCTCGTTTATGCTCGAGTGCACTCGTCGCGTCGGTGCTCGTCGATCTTCAGGCCCGCATCAGAAAATCGAGAAACCTACTTGCCACGGACGTCGAGTGCACTCGACAAAGACAATTAAGGCACGCAAGTGCCCGGTCTCCTTTTACCACCGTCATCGCTGAGAACACAGACAGCTCCGATATCTTTCACCCGTTGGCTACGCTACCAATGATGATTTCAACTGCCCCGCGAGCTACGTACACAGCAGCATGGCAATTATGGTAATTCAGGGGGATTTTCATCGAGTTATCGCGCACCCGTTGCCATGTTGAGTTTAGCTTCCGAGCTCCGGGCTGTGCGTCGACCAAACCTTCGCTTTATTGTCCGTCGACAAGCAGAATTCAACCGTTGCATTAACGAAACTGTTCCGTGACTGACACTGAAAGGATACGTTTCTATAGCAAGTGTGTCCAACACGCGGCTCAATCCATTCAATTTTGCGAACCGTTTGACCCCTTTTTCCATAAGCGTTATTATTTGCTCGAAGTACCGATCTTTCAATAATGCAAAGTCCAAGGGGAAATAAAATCGGTGCAGTTCGAATCACGGATGGGAGAACTCGTGACCTTTATGGAAAAGGAATTCCCGAGCAGTTTTTATTTCAATCAATTAAAATCAATATTTTGAAGTACTCCATTCGAAGATATTAAAAACGAACGGTACCTTAAGAAACTGCTCCTGATTCGGAGAGAAAAATTAATTACTTCGACGAACAACATTTGTCCGAAGTCATTTTTGTCGGAAAAACCTTGCCAATTCCATTGGGAATATTCTCACGAACGTATACTATAAAAATAAAAATTGTGTACAAGAGAGACTCAGGCCTGGATAAAAAAAAAAGGTTGATGTCTATAAAAAGAGTACGCACCCCGAATGCATGGAAACGAGTGGCAAAGCGAGCGGATGAGAAGACGAGACTTGGAAGCTGTGCGGGTCCTATTGGTCAGAATTATTCACGACGAAACATCGCATATTGGTCGACGCGTCGTATCTTACAAGAATACCACGCCCTGCGCATCGACCAATTTTTACCCTTGTTATCAGGAGTTATTTTTGTTCAAATATGTATGCGTTTACCTCTTTTTTCACCGAGAAAGATCAAATGTTAGTTTTTGACATGTGACAGCTACGGATGAGAATGTTCCATATCGCGGAACGGAGCGCGTTTCAAAAAATCCGTAAAAACGCGAGCCCACCGTTTGAAGCTTTTTTCGATAATAACGTTATTCCCAGAGATTGCGTATCAGAACTTACGCGAGAATAAGGATGAGGAAGGGCAACTTAGCAGCTAGAAAATAATTTTCAATGGTTTCCCTGATACCCTTCGAGTCTCGTCTTCTCAGACGTAGGCTTTGTCGAGTCGGTGACAGTCAAACGGATAACCCGGAGATTCTTTTACGATTCCATGGATCGCGGTTCGCTGAAAAATATGGCGATCGCGTGAAACTTTAATCTGATATTTATGCGCGAAGGAGAAACGGTCTTGGCGTATTTCTCGCGCAAATCGCCTTTACCGCGGACGTAAGAATAACGTCGGCCAGGAGGTGAAAACAGTATTACGAATGGCTAAGCCGGATGACGATGTTTCGTACTTACGGAAGAGGAAAGGATTTATTGTTGGAGCTACTTTCAGTTTGGATGAACTATTAATATTGCAGGGAGGGGGGAAGTAACAATCCCTAGAAACGAGTATAATATTTACTGTTTAGAGAACGGATACAAGTCGGAAGCGGTATTAAAAATGCAAGAGTCTCGAAAGGGGGCCTTTCGAAATCGTTAAAAATTGAAGGCAACGCGTCGAAAGATTAAACCTCCTCTCGAGCTTAATGCACAATAGATGATGGTGAACGATTCTCGTTGAGAACGGGAAGAGGTTTGGAATTCAATGGAACGGCGACAAATTTTCGCGTCAAAAGATTCTCGCCTTATTAAAATCTCTTTTCTCGACGATTAAAAGGCCGGGGGTTTTCAACTGAAATTCAAGCGAACGCACCATCTAACGTGCTCTTTGTAAAATTTACTAAGCGCTCTGTGTACCGTCCTTGAGCGATAATGACGCGCGTGTGCAGCAGCTTTTTTCCCGCAAGTGTCAGCAGTGAATTAAAAAGGGCGACAGAGCTGACGCGGTAGCGCGAAACGCGAGAAGCCGCTTAAAGAGCAACGTTCCACAATCTCCGAGTGCACCTTCGCGATTCATTTGTCTATATAGCCGCGTCAAATTGCGCTCGCGGACAAGACTTCGTCCTTCACGCCTTCCTCTCTGTGCGACGCGTTCCGCATTTAAACTCGCGTAATTCGTCCAAGTGAACTCTCGCGAACGACGCCCTGCAACATTTATGCGGCTCGCAAAGCCTTCAGAAGAAACTGCGCCGACCTCTTCGAGTCTCTTAAAACGGGCCACGCTCGTCTTAACTACGCCAGGAAGACGTAATACACGAAAGAATTCCTCGCGAATAGTTGCGCTTTCGATGCGTTCATTTGAAATTATTCCCTTCTAAACCTGCGACGGTAGACGACGTTAAACACGTGGAAATCTCGTGTTTCAGGTAACTTGGATCAGACGGAGGGATAGGCAGCTGTTGACCGTGGGCAGAGACACCCACACGATCGACAGGCGGTTCGTGGTTGTTCCAAACAGTCCCGACTGGACTCTACTGATAAAGAATATTCAGCACGACGACGCTGGAGTCTACGAGTGTCAGGTAACGAGAACCGATGACAAAAAGTGAAAAAGTAACGGTAACAAAATAAGAGTGAATTACGAGTTCGTCGGGCATCAAAACAGCGAAAAGCCTGCGAGATACTACGGTTATTGTTGTGTGACGTAAATAACGCCGCGAAATATAGCCGCGCACAATGCCACGAATCCCTTATCACTGCAGCTACGTGCGGCACAATGGTTCTTAAAATAATGAACGACACGTAACGTTAAAATATGAATTTTAAAAGAAAAACGCGGTCATCCTGATATTATATTTTATTCACAACGGGTCATGTGTCGATTATAACGCGGTAAGGTAACCAATATGGATTAATTTCGACTGCAAAATCGCGTCGATTTCGAGTAACTCTTTACCCGGTTTTCTCATCGTTCTCTGTCGCGACAGATTCAAACTGAGCCAGTTCAGCAACGATTCATTCGTCTGAGCATCACCGAGGCGTACTCCATGATTCCCGGTGGACCGGATCTTCACGTGAAACAGGGATCCAGCCTTCGCCTGGAATGCCAACTAATGGCCTCCGCGGAAGCACCGAGCTTCATTTTTTGGTACCGAGAGAAAAACATGATCAATTATGATAAGGAGCCAGGGGTTAGGGTCGAGGCAACGAAAAACGGTTCCATTCTGATTGTCGACAAAGTGAAACTCTCCCACGGCGCTAATTACACTTGCTTGCCGAGCAACGCCAAGCCAGCGTACATCATGATACACGTGATCGAAGGTCAGTGATTTCGCGCGAATAAAAAGTAACTCAATCGATATTCGTTTCATCAAAGGGAGTTTCCTAGCTGAATAGTACGTCAAATTTATTTCCTTCTGTGAACTCATAAGACTTTCCTTTTCTTTTCTATTCTTGAATAGAATCTCAATCTACGATCAGTCGCGTTCGCTTCAACCTTCAAACTGACGATTCAATCATCGTTGCGATTCCAAGTCGATTAACGGATTTTACCAGCTTCTTCGTTTTTCATGTAATTGTTCGAGAAATCTGATTGTGAAAACTGTCCGCTCGCGGTATTCGAGTTATTTTCAACGCGAATGTTGTTCTACGCTTTGGCTGTTCGAGCCGCGAGAGGACAAGAATTAACTGGTTGTTATTTTTCTTTCTAGAAGAGGAAAAACCGGCAGCCATGCATGGCGGCGATCGACGAAACGGCACGCGCGGAACGTCCATCAACGTCATGTTGATTTTTCTGACTTTTCTCGGTATACAGTGCTCCAGCCGTCTTTATCTGCAGCAGTACCACGTCACGTGACCAGTCCACCGGTCAACTTTATCACCAAATTAGTAACATCCACGAGAATTTGAACATTTCTGACACCTTTCTCTTCTATCTAGCTGTCACTCGTCTGACCCGTGTTTATTTTCGCGGAGCGGCGTTGAATAATCAACGATGCGCTTCGACGGAAGGCTGAAACCACACATCACCGATGTACAGAGGCACGCTGCCTTCGAAAAATATATCGCAGAAGGAAGACAAAGAAGGTACCTCCTCTTTGAATCGATTCAAAATCTATCAAACGTACACAAAATTGGATTTCGCGTTAAAGAATGGCGATCGCTTTCTCTCACGATATAGACGTAAATTGGCATGCTCGTCGTTTGAAATCTCTGGTTGTGCCACCGTGCCAGAGATTTGTTTTCTGGAAACGTCTCTCTTGCGTAGTTCGGTCGCTGAGATACGCGCGAAGTCAAACCGGTAATTTTATGCGCGCGTACACGGAAACTTGGTAGTTTAATCTAAAACCGGAGAAACGACAGCTTGAAATAACAATAACGAGGAAACGTTATCCGGTTTCGCGCGAAGACGGATTCCCGTCTTTCGCGACACGGCCAATTCATAGCGAAGTTTCGAAACAGTTTCGAGTTTCGTATCGCGGTTCGAGGATACATCAGATTTCGTTGAGGCAATTTGAGCTTCGACGGAGCACTCAACGCGCAATTACGACAAAAGAGACTTTGGAATGGAACTTTTCACGGCGGGGTTTCGATCCTAATGGCGAGACAAAATTAATTGATCGCTCGAAGCTACTTCCCTGGCCGAGATCCGCGTAAGAAACACAGGGCTGAATTAATTTGAGAGAAATACGTTAACTCTAGCACTCCTAGACCCATTCGCTAAAAAGGGTTACAAATTAGAAGAAACGTCCTCGGTTCGACAACTGCTTTGGAAAAGGAAACATAAAACGAAACCACCGAGTTACGAGACGACGAGAAAATCATTATTTCTGTCCAATTTATTTCGTTCAGACTGATGTACGCGCGATACGAACGCAAATTCCTTTGACGATTACCTGAGAATTACAATAACGTTTATCTCGCACATCGCGCGGAAGCTTCCCCGTCGAAGAGTTTATAATTACCGTGAAAACTGAAGGATTCATTTTTCTCACGAAGATACTAGGAAACTAATTTTGTTTAATGCGTAAGAGAAAATTAGTTTGCTCGCGACTGTTCCAGATGCAGGCAACGTTTTTACTTCAATGTAAGATAGTAACCTGATGTTTGCTGTCAGGGACGGCTTTCCGTTCGTACTCATTAGCGCAAGGAACGTTTAATTAAACGCGCTGCAGTGTACGAGCGAGCTCGAGGCGCCACAAATTTCTTTAGCAATTAAGAGAAAAACGCGAAACATTTTATCGAAGCGAATCCACCGACGCGGCGAGCGTTACGCGTTCGTGCTTTCTCCGGTTTCATGTTTTTCCTCGCACAAATAACCCGGATGCCGTGTATTGCGAGACATCGAATGGCAAGGTCCCACATTCATTCATAGAAAATACTGCCAAGGAAGAATCGAAAGGTCCGACGTTCTCGGCTCGGTGTGAATTTAATCCATTGAAAGACCCGAGGTATGCCTCTTCGCGTGCTTCGCCGTTCAAGGAATCGCAAAGTGAATTCGATAAACTCGAACGATCCTTTATTTGAACGGGTATTCTAGTTCAGCTACGCAAAAACTAAAGCATCTTTGGAATTTTATGAGACCAAGAATAATCGAGATATTTCTTTGGAACTTCCCAACGTTCTCGATACACGTCTCGCTAAGTTACATCAATTTCTCCACGGGAAAATACAGTACGGTTTTAACATTTTACGAAGACTCTAAACCACGAAAAACAGTAAAGAAAAGAATTGTTTTTTCCAAAATACTGGACTAGAATATCACCTTAACAGGAGAGCTCGCAAATCGACCACACCGGTGCGAATGAAAACTCACACACGGCCGCAAATGCCGGGCATGGTTTTTCACGAACCTTTTCATGTAAATACTGGCCGCCATTGTCTTAAATTTCTTTCAACGCGCTGGCCCCACGTTGCCACCGACGATTTTACCTTTTGTCGAGCAAACGATTGTACTCCGGAACCGCGTGACCACTTCAATTAACATTTCAACCCCTCCGTGGAAAGTTACAATCAGAAATTCGGTGTCTGGCTGGGAAACGGGCGAGATTGCGTCCACCATCTCCGTACTCCGAGGTGTATCTCGAAAACTGTCGCTCAATTTCAAGTTCTCGGTGCTTTTTGTTGGCGAAAATGTGAAATCAGCACGACGGTACGCACAATACGGTCGACAGCGAAAATTCCGCTCGTGGAAGGACCGAAGGATACGTCGATTCTTCGGTGAACGATTACGAAGTACAATCGTCGTTCGTCGCACATACTATTCAACGGGATGAACCGATAAGAAGCGTTTTATCGACTTACGAAAACGATCAATGTTTCCAGGCAACGCTAAAATGCTCACTCGATGTGTTAATGTGATCAGTGTATATACATGTATGTTAATTATAAGTGCGTAAGTGCGTGTAAGAAAAAACGTTCCACAAGGTACAAGAATTTTGCCGTATCCTTTTACATCCAATGAAATATTGCACATTTTATCCAACCAGTGTACACGTTTCTACCTAGATTAACAATTTATCAACAAAGACTCGTCGTTTAACACTTACAAATCGATGTGCTCGCTATCTATAGCGTTATAAGATTCTTGCTAGCTGAAGTTTAATATTCAGAATTACATTAATTCAGAGCCGGTGCTAGAATTACTAGCGTCCCTTCAAATTATACGCAAATAAAACATCCATTTATACGTCAAAAAAATATTCAGCTATGGATAGGACGTTCTTTCGAAGTTCTTTCGAAACCGGCCCTGTATTAATCGACGCCCGTAGATTAATTAATTTAATAACAATATAGATGAATTTCAATATATACGTTTAAGTATGTTTCTTTTCGTCGTCTCTCGATGATTGTGTAAACTGTAGGAGTATAGTTGAGAAATAGAACAATGAGTTACGTTTTCATCCTCACGATATTGCAGCGTGCAAAATAAATTGAACGTTTCGAATCCGTCGGTAAGTAATTCCTTCACCACCGAGATGCACAAACGCTTCCTTGAAAGAGGTAAGTTCAATTATGCCAGATCACGGTCACATCGGTGATATTAAATCCTTAGTAACGTGAATTTTTCGTCTTCGATCACGAGAGTATTAAGGATTTTAGTATCTAAAAGTTTCGGGATTAAATGGAAAAGGAACGAGCCTGATGGAGACCACAAGGCGCGATTTCTCGTGTCACTGTGATTCTAACCCGAGGAATTTCGCCCGTGGAATGTAATAACCTGCTCGTCTCCAGGGCATACCCTACAGCGAAGATGTATCTTCCGTCTAGAACACACTCAATCGCGTATTACCACTTAAATGCTTGCGAGATGCTTAACGTGAAAATTATGGCCTATGAAAATTACGGCCGGTATCTCATCAAACCCGAAGCCCCGAAATCGATGGGAATAAATCACTCTGTTAGGTCGTTACAGAAATCGTTGATTCAATTATTGAAAGCTCTCGTCGACTTTCGAGTTTCAGCCAAAGAGAACCGCGTAACCTAACCGTTTTAAACACGTACGCAATCATACGATCCCATTAATCCATTAGTATCGGTAAACACACGCAACGATGAGTTTACTTGCGCCATCCAATCGATTTGCGACCTTTACGTGAAGTTCTTCCATAAGCGCGGCTTATTTCCGTCGATTAATCAAAACCCAGCGGATAATGCGTAATATCCAGTATCTGGTAAACAGTAAGTCGAAAGCAGATACGTGTTACCGGATTGTAATACGAGCATATTGCCGGGAACGATGGAACGGAAAATCGAAGCAGCTTTGGTTCTATTCTGCAACAGTTAGCGAAGTAGATGCTTTAAAAATATTACTCTACGAGGTTGATGAGTAAAACGATAAAGGCTACTATTAAAAGATCGAAACGTTCGTCGCACATGGCTGAAATAATACCGCGACAACGCTGCTCGTTTCATTTTTTAAAAACAATTCCAAGTGACGTGTAGTCGCGTACAATTTTATCCCACAGACACCGCGAGAAAAAAGAGCATCGATCCAAACACCGTGACCTAAATCGTCCCCAAATCCAACGTAACGCATCGCAATCTAGGCAGAAAAATGGAACGTCGAAATGCAACATCGAAACCATTGTGGTTCCCTCTTCCTCTTCTCGCATTTTCTGATACACGGAGAGTTTCGATTTACAATATCGGGGCGATGGAAATTATGATGATAGAAAAGCAGCCATAAATAATGGAACGAAGGAACGGGAACTCGAATTTACCGAGGAAAAGATAGAGGCGCGAAGTAACGGGGGGGGGGGGGGGGACAAAGAGTGTTAGTGCATGGTTATCGTTGCATAAATTTTACAAAGATTCCGATAAATGCAGCAGGCGGTAAAGCCGACGTTTCAGCGCACAAAACACGATGGATTCTAATGAAACACCATGCGAAAGATCGATATAAAGAGCTAACAATAAAAAGATGCATCCTTGCGCGAATCTTTCATCTAAAGCTTAGCGAAGAGTTGTTTTCCCTGCGCGCAGATCCGCTTAGCGATACAAATCAGTAAGGAATACGTAAGCTTCATCAATTTTCACGTTTAATAACAACGGCAACTTGCGCGAATACCTCGATAAATTTACAATGTTACATTTAGTTTGTGCTATCCACTGTTCACGGATGACCATTATTTTACGTATCTGTTAAACGATACCTCGTGACGTTCGTTGCTACTTTTAAACAGAATTTCATTAAAAATGAAAATCGAAACAATCCATGCTAATACATCACTAATCTGTCGCTACGTCGTTGGATTAACGAGCGCTGACTTATTTACCCAACGAAGAATGAAAAGTCGGGTAGAGATTATTTTTATCCATTAGCAACAAGCTGCAAAAATGGGAAGTATTCTGTGCCGTACTGCGGTTTCTTAAATACTTCAACATGGACCGGTGCAGTTACATTTCAAAGATTATTAATACTTGAACGTGCGACCACGTTTTAGATATTAGCAATACTTCGGTGAATATTTACAAAAAGTCGAATTACTATTTTTATCCCTTTCTAACTATCGTCTACAAAGCGTTACGAGCTGGTACTATGAACATGGTAAACAGTTTCATGGCACGTTGCTTCTTGAAAAGAAAAATGAAGATAACGTTGTCGCGAAGATATTCTCTTCCGTCTGGTTATTATAGTTTCGCTCGGGGTTCGATTAAAAACCTAACATCAATCTGCGAAAATTAAGGAGGCGAGAAGCGGAAAAATGTTTTCCAAGAGGCAAATGAAAGAAAGATAGACGATTACAGCAAGGATTAACGCTGCCATATTTTAAAGAAACTTGAAACGCATAATTTAGAAACAGTTTAAATCACACCTAAAGGGACCATTACGTATCTCGTAAGATATAATCTGGTGAAATGGCTATTGAAATCATCGCACATTCAAAACCTTTATCCCTCTCCCCCCCCCCCCCCCCTTTACTTCATCGTGGAAGACTGAAAGAAACGACGGCAGAAAAATGTCCCGTATAAAAAAAGAGAATATGCTGACTTTGAGGCTCCATGCTACGTTAGCGCAAAGGCTCGAAACATGTAAATGCAAAGAAGCGGTAATGTCACAGCGAATTTTCCGCCGTGCAAAATCCTGAGAGCATTAAGTAAATAGGTCAATCATTCTCTTCATTGTAAGTTCCGCGAGCTTCTCGAACGGACTTTTCGTTTTCGCGAATGATTCGTCCATCTAGTTTCCGCAGATAAGAGGAATTACTCGTAGCGCGATCCGAAAAGGAAAAGACGGGAAAATACCTTCTCTATACACGCTACATTCCGATACCACGAACTTACGAAATCCGTGGTACGCTGTATGATCCATTTTCCGATATTTTCGCATGAAATATCGTTCTCTGAGATGAGATATCGATTCTTTCAACTGTTTAAAACAAGCAATTTAGACAGAATATAGACTGAATTGGCTCGTCTTTGGTATAAAGTAATGTCTAATAATAATCCAGATCATAATTCCAAAAAATGTGTGTATATTAATATAAAACGAGGATAAATTAAGGATACGAACGAAAGAGGCGAAGCTCAGCTGTAATAAAAGCCGAGATTTTCGCGGAGTTGGGTTAATGGCTCGACCATTTATCAGTATTTAAAATTACCTTGCAAGTCTCTCTCTTTATGGGATCCGTCTAATTCTCGGTTTCGAAAATTGGACGATTTCTTTAAGAGAGATCCGTTACGCGAATCGATTCGAACACTTTCTAAAAACAATTGCGTTTTGGAGACCTGTAATGCTAAGAAAATGGAACAAAAAGGTCGACATAAATTTGGAGTTGACAGTTTGATGAGTGAACGTAAATCGAGGGGAATAAATTTCACGATAGCGTGTCCAACATTTGAGAAAACATTGTTCCAAGGGAACGAAAACAATTTCCACTT